ACACAGCTGAGAGAACAAAACTCTCTCTCTCTCACACTCACACACACACACACACACACACAGAAAAGAAAAGAAAATCTTCTGTTCTGAATTTGCTGCTAATTGTTGTTTTTGTGTTTTTGTTTGTAGTTCAGTTTCACATCGCGCATTTATACGAGATTCAGGTGAGTCCTTCATTAATGTCTCTTTCTTTCACTGACCGCACATATAAATGAGTGCTTCTTGTAATTGATGGTAATGCATGAAATCGTGTTTGTGAAGGGGGTGCTAGAGCTTAGCGTTCGGGTCGTGTTACCATAGCAACAGGAGAGGGGTTGCCGTGGTGTTGCTTCCTGAACGTTCACCACGGTATCACGTGACATGAACGATTTGTCATGTAGGGTTTTGTTTGAGTGTGTTTGTGATGCCAAACTGAGCAAAAACCATTGCGTGTGATTGTAGATGTTCAGAGAGACGGCGTGTTTACCGGTTAGTTCACGTACACTGATGAATGTCCTGTCTGGTTTTGTTGCGTCACAGAAGAGATACCGCGCGGCCAAGGAGGCCTATGAGAGTCTCCTGCAGACGGAGGATTTACCTGCGCAGGTGAAGGCTGCGACCTTACAGCAGCTGGGTAAGAACATGCCTCACCAGGAACACCTGTGTTTGCTCATGATCTGTGTTTAAATGCCTCGCAATATCTACAGGGGCGCTTCTGTGACGTGTGGAATAAGTCTTCAAATAAACCGTTTTCGAATAAAGTTTTCACATCCGTGTAAATCTGGAAGCTTGACAGATGCAGGCAGGGACGTGACAAAACTATCCTCAAAGCGGTTTATCTGGAGCAAAATCATCTGTGACGCATAACCAGCAGTTCATTCACCTACGAGTCGAGAAGGTCGTTTGCTTTTGAACTGAAACTGCTTTAACAAAAGCATGCGGTTGTAAATGCACCACTGAACTCGGGTTTGAGGAATGAGTCTAAATAATTTAGACTCATTTAGTAATGAGCGGCAGACCACAGAGTAGTTAAGCTGAGTTTCACCAGGTGTTCTGCATCTGTCAGCCGTATGCGGTGTATTCTGTCTGAAAGAGTGTCTCTGTCTGTGTCAGGCTGGATGCATCATACGGTCGAGCAGCTGGGAGATAAAGCTAATAAAGACAGCTACGCCATCCAGTGTCTCCAGAAATCTCTGGAAGCCGATCCGAACTCTGGCCAGTCCTGGTATTTCCTCGGCAGGTCAGTCACACGTCTGCGTCTGCGCACGCGGTTCGTTTGCGCGCAGATTAGCGATAGTTGTGCAGATGTGGTTTTGTTTGCTCTCTGCAGGTGCTACTCCAGTATTGGGAAGGTCCAGGATGCTTTCATCCACACACACACTCTCACACACACACACACACTCACACACACACACACACTCACTCACTCACTCACTCACACACACACACATCTGGTGAAACCACGCTCCTGCTCGCCACATCGTCTGGTCATTGTTGCTCAGTAACAATTGAGTTATGTCGGTATTGGAAGTGTTTTGGGAATCCTCCTGTAAAACATTTCCAGAAAGCATCTGTTTTCGACAGCGAGCCGATCAGTAGCGTGGTTTCTGTACATGAGCTTCAGTAGTGTAGCTCTACACAATCACAGTCCTGGGTCAAAAATGAGTTTGACGCCTCTTCAATTGGCTGTAGGTTCAACAACAGTACAAGTGCCTCATCTTGCCATTTTTCACCCCGAGTTGTGTTTGTGCTGTAGTTTTAGTCCTGTAGTCATTGTGCCCTCTAGTGTTGCAGTTCCACACCAAACACTGACGCAGTCCGGCTGGAGTAGTTACTAGTCGAGTGTGTGTGTGTTCATGACACAGTACAATGAGACGTGTTTTTCTCTCTCATTGATACTGATGCTCTCGCTCATAATAAATGTTTTATTTGTTTCTGCATCTTTTCTCTCAGAGTTCAGTTGTTGTTGTTGTTGTTGTTTTGGGGGGCAGCAGGACACAATCATCATGGTGTGCTAACAGCTCTTATATCAGTTAGGTCTTTAGCACAGGTGGCATGTGTGTTAGTGTTTTATTAATTCTCAGTGTTTTTAATACTGCCGTATTTTATGGTAAAAAGACGTGGTACATTGATTGGCAGCGTCTCAAAGGTCAGTCTCTCGCGGTCCAGCGCCACCAACAGTTCAGATTCTTTACATACGTTTTGGCCACTGACCTATGAACTGAATGACTGCGGAATAGATCATCTTCAGATTGTTACATGCTTTAAAAGCTTTTAAATTTTTTTTAAACCATTCACATGTAACACATTAAAGAATTTGAGGGAGACCACAAAACAGTAAGTGAGGCTGTGTCTATGTATATTGACCTGATATCTGTATTATTGAAACGGTGCTCTGCGTGTAGTTTATATCCAGTTATTCCAAACTTTTTTGGTCAGAATCACTTCGTGTTTTATTCTGTTAACAACATTAAACCGGCTCATAAAAACAGGGTTTGAATGGATTTGTTTACCGTTTTGTCTTTGTGGATACACTTTTCAACTGATTATGATCTGAACAAATTTTAGCTTTAAAAGGCCTCTGGTAAAGACCTCGAACGTGAGCCACACTCAAGCTTGTAAATGTTGTAGATCACCGTTTACTCATAATATTTGAGGTGCGTCTGAGAGTCCGCACCAGACAGATCACCCTCGCAGCTCTGTTCCTCACCTGACCAGAGAAATGTTGTTTAACATTTGCATGCATTGACTGTGTGCAGATTCAAAGTTTGATTTGGTTTTTGTCAGCTGCAGGTGTCGTAGTGTTTGTTTCAGCATCACAAACTAAAACACACTCTCTCTTCACTGGTGTAGATGTTCTCCGTCTCTGTCTGTCTCTCTCTCAATCATTCTGTCTCTTCACGTGTCTGCGGTCTCTCTCAGGCGTGTAAAGCTCAGCCCGGGGCGTCAGGTGGGGCTCATGGCTCCGGTCAGTCGCTGCCCCCCCACGTGAGTCCGCTGGATCAGGCTGAGGATCAGTCCAGTCCAGCCAAGAGGAAGAGGACCGCCAGCCCAGCCAAGGTTTGTGCTCCGTTTGCTCCGCTCAGCGCATCGCTGATATAATGACAGCAGTAATAATCTCTTCACATCACTCCTCAGAGTTCTACAGAGTCTTGGACCCACAGTTCAGCACAGCCACCAGCTCCCAACTGGTACCCGTCTCCTCAGAAGCTGCAGGTGAGAGCATGATGAACACCTCATGATGATTGTGAGTCCTGAGCTTCATTTACTGGGGAATCTGTGTGAGTGCTGACGGCCCTACCGACTCAAAGACGACGTCCAGCATGTTTGATGTTGGTTTAGACCAGCGGTGTCCAGTTCAGCTCCAGCACACCTGCCTGAAGACTTCGATTGTCTGGGCCAGGTGTGTTCGTGCAGGGCTGCAGCTGAGCTCTGCTGGAGCAGGACTGGACACCGCTGGTTTAGACGGTGGATTGTTGGTTGTTCAGACTCTCGTGGGTTTGCCGGTGACCGATGAGCTGCCTCTTTTGTTCTGCTCAGTTGCTGGAGCAGTTGCGGGTCAACCGTGCGAGTCTGAAGCCGCTTCAGCTGCAGATGTTGGAGCAGTTGGAGGCTCAGCTGTCAGCCATGCACCAGCAACAGGTACATCAGACCAGGATTCGTGAAACCTGAAGAAAAAAGTATGAATCATTAAAAGATCATTTGTAAGAATGTTTTGTGAATCTGGCCCGAGAACCTTCCAGAAGTCTTCAAACTCGCGGTTCTCTGTGATGCATCTTCTTCTTAAGACTGCGGTGACACTTTGATTATAAGGTGTTTGTTTGACTTCCTAAATTTACAGTTGGTTGTAATTTTTACCTACAGATGAGGCAAAACTCTTCTGGGCAAATACGAGCCACCCTCCCCAACGGCCCCTCACTGCCTGCTCACCCTGTTCCTCGCGGCCCGGCCGTGCCACCGTCTTGTAACGCTCAGCCGTTAGCCAACGGCCCGCAGCCCCCTTCAGTCGGCAATAATCACACGCCAGGAACCAGAGCGAACGGAGACGTGCCTTACCTGCACCCCAACACACTACCTCACAACTGCACAAGCCCAGGAGACACATGGAGGAGCCAGCGTCTCAACTCCGCTCAGGTCCGCTTCTGCTGCTTAAACACATCATAGAAAAAACATGTGGTCATGACCCCGCCTCGTTCTGCATTGCTCGTTCACACCTCAGACATGACATGAACATTGAGATTTTTTAGAGACGCAACTAAAAATGTGTGCCTGAATGATGCTGGTCTCAAGTATCTGAACGATGTGCAGAAACAGCTTAATGCTAGCTCTTACCTGCATCTGGTTTGTGATCTGAAAAATTATTAGTATCCCATAATATCATTGTTTTCCTCAATGTGCAACACAAACATAACTGTTAACATCTAAAAAAAAAAAGTTTAGGTTTTGTGACCCTTTCACTAGCAAAAAGGCCATGTTTAGCTGTGCCCCACATTAACCTGTTACCACATGACTTAAAGCAACAGTAATTCCAAAAATCAGACATCCAGCAGGCAACACTTTCATGGGAGGATCATTAGCAAATAATCTATACAAATAAATATATGTACATTTTTATATATTTTATGTTGAGTGCATTGGTTCATCAAGCTCGGCAACATGCTGCTTGGATTACACACTCAAAAGCAGCGTTTTAACACTTTCTCGGCTCGTTCATGCTTGAGTTGACTTGAGCTGAATAATGACACTGTTGTTTTTTTACAGCAGAATCTGAATCGTCTCCGTGGTTGAGTTTCCATTGATTCTGTTATTTTCCTGTTCATTTCTGTGGAGCTGCTTTGACACAATCTGTATTGTATAAAGCAGTGGTCTCAAACTCAATTCCTAGAGGGCCACAGCTCTGCACAGTTTTGCTCCAACCCTAATCAAACACACCTGATCCAGCTAATCGAGGTCTTGGGACTGCTAGAAACTTACAAACCGGTGCGAGTTCGAGCTAAACTCTGCAGAGATGCCCTCCAGGAATTGAGTTCGAGACCACTGGTATAAAGCGCTTCAGAAATAAAGGTGACTTGACTTGTACTTCTGTATTTCCTCCCGATTCAGGGGCTTCAGAAAGGTCCGGGTTCGCATTGGGCAGGTCCTAATGGAGACCGGACTCTCTCTTCCAGTGCTTCAGCCGACGGCGGCCCTCACAATCAGGTTGGACTTCCCGCCATGACCCCATCTGAGCCAGCTATCAATCATCTGTCCTCTCCTTCCTCCACGTCGTCCCCCGCTTCGTCGTCCTCGCAAACGGCTACCTCAGGTGCGCCCCACGGCACCGGCCCGACCAAAGAGAGCGCCGCCCTGCAGGCCAACGGTTCCACTGCCGCCAACCACCACAGTCCCGACCGCTCGCCCACTTCCACCTCCGGCTCTCCGGCAGCCGCTTCCACAGACAATCCGCAGCTCTCCGCTCTTCTCAGGAGCAAGGAGAGTCCTGCCGTGAGCTCGAGGGTGAACCACGTCCACCCAGGCACCACGCTAACGGCATCCACCGCTTCTTCGCCCGCCTCATCACCGCCACCCCGCTCCGCAGAGCTTAACAAGCCAGGCTCCTCTGCGCCGGGACCGCCGCCCGCCCTCACCGTTAACGGAAGTGGAGGGGGAGCGTGTTCAGAAGACTCTCAGAGCCCGCTGAAGCTGGAGCCGCCGGAGCTTTGCATCAAAACCGCCACAGCTCTCAAACCCTCTCTCTCGTCCTCCACCGTCTCCATTTACCCCACATCCGCAGACGTCCTGAAAGCCTGCAGGTATGCTTAGCTCCTGTGGAGTGATGTAAGAATTATCGCCCTCTAGTGGCGGCTCATGTTTTATGCACACTGCAGACACACAGACAAACCTATACATGCTGCTGATTGACTTAAAGGTCTGGTTAAACAATGTGACTGGGTCTGGGCGCAGATCTAACCATAACCGCACACCAAACATGCTCTCTTTACGTTTGTTTAGAATTGCTGTATTAATATTGTTTGCACAGCGAGTTACACAGCATGTTCCTCCTTGAGCCCCTAACAGCTGTAGCTCATGACGTGCAGAAAAAAGGACGCTGAAACACAAGCACGTCTGAACGCTACAGCAAAGTATTCGGAGAACTCAAATGAACAAGCAAAAAAAAAATGAAATGAAATGAAAAAGCTGTCTGTGGCATTAATGTGGCGCTGTCGCCTCTGTGGACTGGACCTTCTTTGTTGTTGTATGCACAAACAGAAATATATTTTATACATTATATTTTGAAGCGCTTAAATGATGTCAGACAGTGTGCTTGTGCAAAGAAAAGAAATGCAAGCTGAATTTTAGACTTGAGGGTGTTGTGCGTCTGCAGGTGTTGAGAATCTGATGACTTTCTTTAACATTTCAGCTTTGACTAATTTGTAAATATTGTACTCTGCAGAAATAACGTTATTCTTCATGTCTAATGTCACGTTTATTTACAGGAATCTCCGGAAGAACGGTCTGTCGAGCAGCAGTATCCTGCTGAACAAGTGTCCGCCGCCGCGGCTTCCTCCTCCTCCGTCACCGCCGCTCGCTAAAGACAAGCTCAACCCGCCGACGCCGAGCATCTATGTGAGCAGCGCACGCACGACCCTGCATAGAAATAATTAACACTGCGTATATTTGATACGGGTCTAATTGCAATCATAAATGTGTTTGTTCATATTTCAGTTGGAGAATAAAAGAGACGCGTTCTTCCCGCCGCTGCACCAGTTCTGCACCAACCACTCCAACCCTGTCACCGTCATCCGCGGCCTAGCTGGAGCCCTCAAACTAGGTTAGAGCTCACACACACACACTCACTCTCTCACTCACACACACACACACACACTCACTCTCTCACACACACACACTCGCGCGCACACACACAC